GTTTTTTTTTTTTCTTTTCTTTCTTTCTTTCTTTCTTTCTTTTTTTTTTTCTCCCCCCTCGCTTGCTCCAGGTTTTACTTCTGGTTGCCTGTAAGGGTTTTGCTCCTCCCTTCTGAAATCCTATATTAGCTGTGGCCAAAGCTGGGTAAGAAACACAGCTCATTGTTGGCAAGTGCCGATGAGCCTCGCAGAGGAGTGAAAAACAGCTCTGGGGCTGCGGCAGCGATCGCAGCACCGTCACGTAAGCGCCGAGGAGAGAGCCGGGGAAGCCCTCTCTATGCTGGGTGACTTTTACTGACTGATTTCACCGCCACCTTTGAAGCAAAAGAAGAAAGAAGCCGGGAGGTGAGTGCGGCGGTTCTCGTAGCCGGTGCCGGGTGTCCCTTTTGTGTGCAACAGGAAAAATGGGACTGTTTAAACACGCGAGGAAAGGTATCTCTCAGCTGCCCGGCTTTACCTCCTTATCTGTGCCTTACTGTATTTTTACCGAAATAATTAGGACTTAATTCCAAAAGTTGCTGACAGCGGCTAGGTGGGACTTCCCAATTCTTTGCTCGTTCCCCGCAAGTTAGCGAGAGCGCCGTGGAAATCCGCTGCCTTCCCTGGCGAAGCCGGGGGGCTCGGGCGCCTTTTGAACGTGCGGGGAGGAGGCGGCTGTTGCCGAATGCAACACTTTCCGGCGATAGGTATGCACAAGTTGGAGCGGGAAGGCGTGTTGCTCGCCGGATTAGCGGAGGGGACCGGGATTTTCGTACCGCGGGCTCCCCTTTCTCATTTTTCCCTTTGTACTCCACGGTGGAGCCGCGGTAGGGGATTTTTTTTTTATTTTTTTTCCCCTCTTCTCCCTCCCCCCGAGAAGGAGAGGACGGCGGGACCGGCGAAGTCGTTTCTCCCAGCGCCGGGCAGACGCAGCCGGTCCGGGAGAGGGCGGCTGGATGTCCGAGGGTGTATTTTCCTAATGTATTCACACGCTAACTTTCCAGGTGGGCAATGGCAGACCACATGATGGCCATGAACCACGGGCGATTCCCCGACGCATCCGGCGGGCTTCACCACCACCCTGCGCATCGGATGGGCATGGGGCAGTTTCCCACCCCCCATCACCACCACCAGCAGCAGGGGAGAGGGCGGCTGGATGTCCGAGGGTGTATTTTCCTAATGTATTCACACGCTAACTTTCCAGGTGGGCAATGGCAGACCACATGATGGCCATGAACCACGGGCGATTCCCCGACGCATCCGGCGGGCTTCACCACCACCCTGCGCATCGGATGGGCATGGGGCAGTTTCCCACCCCCCATCACCACCACCAGCAGCAGCAGCCGCCGCAGCAGCACGCCTTCAGCGCCCTGATGGGCGACCATATACATTACGGAGCCGGGAATATGAACGCGAGCAGCGGGGTGAGGCACGCCATGGGGCCGGGGAGCGTGAGCGGAGGGCACCCGGCCGGCAGCATGCCGCCCCCCGCCCGCTTCAGCGGCTCCCAGTTCATGGCCCCCCCCGTCGCCAGCCCGGGAGGGCAGCTGAGCGCCAGCATGCAGCTCCAGAAGCTGAACAACCAGTACTTCAGCCACCACCCCTACCCCCACAGCCACTACATGCCGGACTTGCACCCCGGCAGCCACCAGCTGAACGGCAGCAGCCAGCAGCATTTCAGGGACTGCAACCCCAAGCACGGCGGCAGCGGCGGGGGGGGGGGGGGGGCGCGGCACCCCCAGGCGCGGCGGCAGCGGCGGCGGCAGCGGCTTGCCGCCCGCCGTCCCCCATCCCCGCGGCAATGCTGCCGCCCAATGTCATAGACACTGACTTCATCGACGAGGAGGTCCTCATGTCCTTAGTCATCGAAATGGGGCTGGATCGCATCAAGGAGCTTCCCGAGCTGTGGTTGGGACAGAACGAGTTTGACTTCATGACAGACTTCGTTTGCAAACAGCAGCCCAGCAGGGTGAGCTGCTGATTCATTTAATCCCCGCGGCAATGCTGCCGCCCAATGTCATAGACACTGACTTCATCGACGAGGAGGTCCTCATGTCCTTAGTCATCGAAATGGGGCTGGATCGCATCAAGGAGCTTCCCGAGCTGTGGTTGGGACAGAACGAGTTTGACTTCATGACAGACTTCGTTTGCAAACAGCAGCCCAGCAGGGTGAGCTGCTGATTCATTTAAAACAAACAAAGGACTTTCTATCGGTGCGAATGAAAACATTCCCCTAGACACGGTGTCTCACTTTTCAGGGCTTGAAAAGGTGAGAATCTGGAAAGCAGAGTCAACTATGCGCTTGTATAAATTCTTTTTTTTTTTTTCCCCTTAAATCGCTGCCACATTTTTTGTAGCCTTGACGTTCACGTCCCCTCCCGTAGTAATGATTTCTAGCGAACTCTGCCTTTTTATGTTGGTCGCTCCCCTCCCCTCCTCGCTCTCTTCATTTCCTCGCAGTAACGTGCCCATAATTCCCACAGTGCTGAACTGTTAGATATTAATCTTGGCAAATTGCTTAATCTTGTGGATTTTGTAAACGATGATTTCCAATGACCTGAACTGCGTTCAAATTCTGAGTGAACAGGGAAAGAAATTTGCATTAGTTGGTTGCATGAACTTTGAAGGGCAGATACTACTGCACAAATGCTGCCATCTTGCTTAATTTTTAACTATGCATTGCTGTGCAGACTAATAAATTTTTCTTTTTTTTTTTTTTTTTTTTTTTTTTTGGATACGCTAAACTGGAAGCTTAACAGATGTGGGCCAAACCTTTCCAGATCAGGAAAAGTAATGCTGTTACTTAAAAAGTCTGCTAACCATTCCCCCTCCCCCATATGTACAGACAATAATATGGTGTGGATGGAATGTTGACTAGTGGCAAACATTTCACAGATTTTTTTTTTTTTTAATTATTATTTTATTATACATAGATTTCTTTTCCGTATGACACTGTGCTAATATAGTTTATTCAGTACATGAAAAGATACTACTGTGTTGAAAGCTTTTCAGGAAATTTTGACAGTATTTTTGTACAAAACATTTTTTTGAGAAAATATTGTTAATTTATTCTATTTTAATTTGCCAATGTCAATAAAAAGTTAAGAAATGCTTTAGTTTTTCTAGGAGTCATTTACCAGTATTTTTCTTCAAAACTCTTCCCCACTGTCCCTGGTAAGTAGAACATCTATCTGTACGACCGTGTTGGTGTGCAAAAAGACATTCCAAAATAGAAAGTACACTACACCCATATATATGTCATGGTGAACTCGGTAGGTGAGCGGGATTTGAACATACTTGCAGCATAAAGCCTCATACGTAACATTGTAATATGCCTGTCAGTGTGGTTTTATGAAAAATAAAGTTACCGAGGCGCAACATTTTTGTGACTTGCCAACATACTTGCTTTAAATGTAGTTGTCCAGAGTTATGATGCATAAAGTATTTATTATATTTATCTATTAAACTTGTAATTTTATAAATCTGCTTTCATTTATATAGTAGACTTTGTTCTTTTGTATATTTATTATCTCACCTGGAAGAGCTATGTAAAAAGACCCAAGCGCTTGACACGCAGGTATTTGTAACTTGGGAGGGGAGGGTGGTGGGCGTCGTCCCGTCCCTCTCGCCTCACAGGGTTAACACGGGAGAGCGCCGCATCAATCCAGATCTGCATCGCACCAGAACCGACTGTGTTTCCTTTCCAGTGACTTAGGAGAAGGGGCCTATGTCCCTAAAATATTCCACACTGGGACATCTCTAACCCCCTTCTCCCGGCAACTGCTGCCAACCGAAGCCACAGAGACAAATCCGTACAGGTCTGCTGTAAATATTTGGGAGAAAAATGCCCATTATTAGAAGGCAATTGACATCTTGCTCCTTTAGTGCCAACTGTTGCAGCCTTCTGCCCCCACTCAGCCTTTGGCAAAGCGCCCGCACAAGTTACTGCTCCAGTGAGGACTGCCGGATCGGGACCCTGATAATACATGTTAATCCCGTTTAGTCACGCTTCCCGAGTTCGATACAGGAGCGATACCACCGTGCTTTCTTTTTGCTTGCTTTTTCAGCCTCGTCTTCTGAATTTATTAGGAAGAAAAACAACATGGTGGATGTAGTTAAATTTTAAACCTGGGCACGTAAACAGGGGAGGGTATCGCCACACAATGGGAGTGTAAATAGCAGTGTTTTGAATCAAGCTGGGAAATTAAACTGATTACTATTGCTAAAATTGTCCCAGCTGGTGAGAAAAGTGATACTTGGCCTTCTTTGCCTTACAGACGTGAAGCAGCTAATATGTTTTATGAATGTAAAAAAAAAATAACGCTTGTATTAAAGTATTAGCAAAACTAGAAAGAAGGAAGCGTACGCTTCTGGGAAAACCTGACGACAAAACGCTCTCTGCAGGCAGTAGCAGCCCGTTCTTAGACAACACTCGGCACCCAAGAATTTAGAAAAACAACCGTCTGCTTTCAGCCAGTGATCGCTAATGTTTTGTGACAGCAAATTTAACATCAAATGGCAGCGAATCATAACTTATCAACTCACCAATGACGTAAAAGAGTGTGTAGAAGAATACAGCTGTAGTTTTAAGAGCCGTTGCCCAACTTGCCACTATATAAATCCTTTTTCCATTTTAAGGCTGTTTGATCTGCACACGTTGCATTGCCCTCTTCTGCTGGAGTTTGGGAGGGTGATTTTTCTGATTCTAATCAACTTCTTATAAAACAGACTATCAAATTATGTGCATACCAAATTGCATAGATGTTTAAAGCCACCACGATCTCCTAAAACAAAAGGGAATACTCTCGCTTTAATGATAAGCACTTTTGCTTCATAAAGTTGGTTAAACAACAGATTCTTCACAGTTGAGACATCATTACTTAAGTCTGTCAACATTAAATCCTTCCATATAAGCTTTTCCAAGAATAGGCAGTTTCACGGGCACGCTGGTAGAGTCTATTTGCGTACGACTCCTTGTAAAACTCCTGAGAGCTGCTGCCTCCAAACAACAGCAGCTACTGAAAGCACTGGCTTTGGGCAAGGCATCGTCGAGGAGTTTTACGATTTCTTAAAAGCGGACCCCGGGGAAATTTGCAAAACAATCATATTGACTACCTTGTCCCTTAATTTCTAATGAAGAATCAGATCCCAGTGGATAGCACAACTACGTATTTTCTTCTTCATAATATCGTCCACCAGGCAATATTGGGGGCCTGACCCTCATCTTCGGACGTGAACCCCTTGGCAACGCCCCCAGCTGGCTCCCACGGCTGAAGCAGTAACAGGCCTTCAAGTGGATCCTCTCTAGCTTCCACACTGTTTAGAAATATGATAAAGTAATTTATCATTTGAACCCAGCGATTAGTGAAAAATGCACAGTGACCCAGTTTTCCGGCTACTGCCAGATCCTGGCGAAGGACGTTGCCGTCTTGCGTCCCATTATAAGTTGCTTTCAGTACAGGAAACTTGACCTCTGTACTTTGGCTGGTTTTCAAGAACGTCCAACATGGTACATGAGATCTGCTCCTCCTT